TTAATACAAGGAAAGAGCTTTATTTCCAGAAGCTAGCACTCCTATGGAAGCAGTGGATACCTTTGATGCCAAATATGCAATTTCCAATGTGCAATTTTGCAAGGGAATTAAAAAAAGTCAAAGTTGGGAGTCATTATCAGATAGGCCTTTGAAGTTAGTGACACCATTTAGTTGAAGATTTGTTTAATATAAAATTTGATGGAAACTGATCACTTTAAATTCATCCTTTGACTAACATTTGTTGCTTTTTCCAACTCCCAGTAAATACACGATTACAGGTAGTTTTTGACAGAGTGTGAAAAACAGAAGATACACTTTCTACACTTTTAAATGTGTGGCTAGTCATAAGGTTAGAATATATAGAGACTAAGCAAAGTATAGCACAGTCACAATTTCTCTTCGTCAGCATTGCATTCTTTACCTACAAACACTGGCTTCACCTCCATTCTGACTACTTTCTGATCACTGAAGTGAAGGGGTTAGAGTTCACAAGTAAACACCTTTGAAATGGTGGAATTCATCTTTTTATTCCTCCTCTTTAAGAGAACGTAGGGCAGATCTTTGTTCAGTTGTTTGTTTAGATGTTTGCTTACAATGTTTTCCTATGCAACACATAATGACGTTTTAAGACCTAAGTAAAATTCCAACAATATTACAAGGGGTGTTAATGCTAGTTTTACAATTGCTGTACAAATGAACCTCATTTCATAAGCTGTTCAGCAGAATAAACTTGAAAACTAATCTCCAAACCCAAGAAAGAGAGGAGTTGATGATCCCGAAATTTTGCAGCAGTGCACCTCCTATTTTTATCAGTCCTCACTTCTACCTGGAGAGAGTGTTGACAGAAGCAGTAATTTTTTATTATTTTTTTGGGAAAGGCAGATATACAGAGAGAAGCAGAGAGGCAGAAAGAAACATCTCCCATCCTCTGGTTTGCAATCCATGTGGCCATAACCCAGAGATGAGCCAATCCAAAGTCAGGATTTTCCTCAAGGTCTTCCACACAAGTACAGGATCTCAAGGCATTGGGCCATCTTCTACTGCTTTCCCATATCACAAGTATTGAACTAGATGTGAAGTTATGCAGCTGGAAATCAAACTAACGCCACTTTGTGATCCTAGCAGACACAAGGTGAGGATTTAGCCACTAGGCTATCACACTGGGTACAGCTCATGTTGTTTTTGCTTGAAGCAATATTTAATGCAAAGTCAAACAGCTGCTTCATAATAACACTGATAACTAGATGGCATCAATCATCATTTGGGGATATGATACAAATTAAAGTTTTCAAAGATTATTGATGGAAACATGGAGCAGGTGTCAAGGGACTATAAGTAATTATATTAACTGAGTATTTTGCTTAGGAAAACCCTCTGTGGAGGAAAATTTAGTCACAGCAAAAAACTGAGAAGCCATGAAATGGCATAGCCATTAATCTATTAAATTCTTGAGAGGCCAATGATTCAGAAATCCCTATAATTCATTACATGAAATTCCCACAAGGTTATTATTTAGGCCTTTAGGATAAACATATTTAGTGTCTGTATTTCTTTTTTTTTTTAACATTACACTCAGGAAGCTTTTATTGGAATATGTATCAAACAATATTGACAAACTTAGGATTACACCAATCATTTTCTCACAATTCATATTATGAAACAGTTACACAGGTTACAGAATAGGGAATCTCTAAAGTTATTTTTTATGTACAAAGGTGGCTTAATCATAAATATTTCACCTCTTTAATAGTCTCTCCATTTCATTATTTGAGCATATGAACCATAAAACCCCACCTATATCAGCTCTAGTGTGGCTTACTTCAGCAAGGGTTACAATCAGCTGAGATAAAATATTTTCCATCATTACAGTATGTTGGTTTGTGGATACTGTTAAGTGAAAGGATGCCATAACAGTAACATAAGCCAACTATACATGGAGCTCAACTTCTAGACCACAGCATATGAACCTATGTTTTCTTTATTGATTGACAGTTCAAGGCTCATTCACATTCTGTGTTGATTTCTTCCATTTCATTTATGTCAGGATGAATTACAGACCAAATGTATTTACACTTGCATAGGGTTGAGGTTCAGCAGAAAAGCCTCAAATTTGGACAACCCACAATGTTTATGTTAGGTAAACACTTACCTAACTGAAGGAAAATATTGTACTTGAGAAAAACTTCTTCTTTCTTTTCTAAATTTTCCTTTTTTATTACTTTTAATATTATTTATGATAGAGTCCCATAGGTTCTGGGATTTCCCTTACCCCCTCCTCAAATCCCTTGTACCCCCACTGATTTCCCCATATTATCACAATAGTATAGTTCCTCACAAACAGTCATAAGTCCATCATTGAGGGCATGGACAATGGCAGAGTCCAGCATGCTATTGTTAAGATAAATTTAACAGTTTCTTTGGGAATCCATCTTTGATATGGAAGTAGAAATGCATACTGCATTGTATCCTCACATCTAGACATAATTTCCATTACACAGTTACTATGCATCCTCTTAAATGAAAAGCCACAATGCAAAATCAACAAAAGTAAGAAAAATAGAAATTTACAATGCCATGAAGTTAAATAACATGTTACCAAATGACTCTTGTGTGGCTGAAGAATGAAAATGAAAATTAAGAACCTTCTTAAAGAAAAATGATGCTACTTTATGACCTATAAGTCATTGAAATTTAATGAGAAAAAAAACTTCTGAAAAAGTGAAAATAAAAACAAAAACATCAAAATCCATGAGATATAGATTCTGCTGATCTTTGTTGGTAAGATGTGTCTCCCATAGGCAACAAATAGATGGGTTTTGTTTCTTGATCCAGGCTGCTAACCAAGGATGTGTGGTTGATGAGTTTAAGACACTTACATTAAGGGTTAATATGGATAGGTTGTAATTTAGTCCTATCATTTTAGCAGTGGGTTGTTCATTGATTTAGTCTTCTCTTGTTATTTTACTGGGATGTTCTTCACATTTGCCTTTGGTTTTGGTGAGTGCTATTTCTTTTCTCTGTCAAGAGAACATCTTTAAGTATCATTTGTAGGGCAGGTCTGGAAGAGGCCAATTCTTTGAGCTTTTCTTTACTTGGGAATAATTTTATTTCATTTTCAAATGCAAATGAAAGCTTTGTTGGGTACGTTATTCTGGGCCAACAATTTTTTCCTCTCCGAATCTGGACCATATCACTCCATTCTCTTCTGGTCTGTACAGTTTCCTATGAGAGGTCAGCTGTGAGTCTCATTGCCACTCCTCTATATGTCCATTGATATTTTTTATGTGCACATTTGGGGATCTTTTCCTTGTATTCAACTGAAGAGAGTTTGATTATCATGTGTCATGGTGAAGACTGCTTTTTGTCAACCCTGTTGGGAGTTCTGCGCCCACTCAGACATATCTTGACTCATACGATGCCAAACTTTGTGTTATTTCCCCTATCAGATTACTATCATGCACTGAATGATAAGTAAGTTTGCTCACAGCTCAGTGCATACACAGCTCACTGTTTTCTCTCTGGTTTTACAGCTTTTGCCACACTCTACAAGATGGTGCCTGAAGCTCTGAACTGCCTGCTTATCAGGTCTAGGAGCTACCTGGACCTAATTAGGGTGGAACCTGTAGAATACCATGGCAGTGCAATGCACTGAGCTTGAAAGAAACTTGTCCCCAGCTTATTTCCTTCCCAAGACCTTTCCCTCCCTAAATAAATTGGTGTTTAGTGTAGCTCTGATGGTGGTCAGGGCTATGAAATCTACCCTCATCCTGTACCACCTGTTTGGAGTATATTGTTCTGTCTCTTCACCTGATCAAATCAAATCAGCAGGGTGGGCAATTTACCTCCTGAGCTCCTGGTGAATTTCCCTTCCCACCTGTCTGCTGGTCGGGTTCTGGCTGCTGTTGGATCTAATATTGCCAGTTTCTGACTGCCACCAGGGTATCTTGTCACTACAACACCACACCGTTATCTCCACTGCTTTCCTATGTGTGTCAGGCTCCAGGTACCCCTCTGCCATCAGTCTGCCTCTGCTATTTCCTGGAATGTGCCCTCCCTTCTTCACCCTAGCTAATGATTCTCTGGATGCATAAACATATCCTTACCCTATTCCACCATCTTGATTCTTTGTCAGAAAAATATTTCTTTATATTACTGCACAACAAACACATTTAATTTCATTTGAGGAAGTTAATAATGAACCTTATGATAAAGCTGTTTGCCACACAAACTTGTTAAAAAATATTGTGGAATAAAGGACAGTCAGTAACTGTGTTTATTAAAGGTATGTATATACGTATGTATAGATATATACATGTATGTGATAACTCACGCAGTCTCTTAAGCAGCCCCTTACTCATTTTTTTGTTGTTTCTCATTTTTTAAATTCACAGCCTGCTTTCTTCACTCATTCTAAACTCATTTAATTGCCTATACAATAACACATGAAACACAAATAATATTTTAACGGTGTTTGACTGAACAATAAATGGTACAATAGACACTAACTATTAACAAGCCCAGATACAGATAGATGATATGAAAACTAAGCAGGAATGAGTATCTGTAATAGCAGAGTGCCCACATCCCGTATCAGATCACTTAAGTTTGTGTCCAGGCTGCACTGACAATTTCAGCCACTGTTAATGCACATTGTAGAGGCAGCATATGATGGGTTAAATAATACTGTCATCCAGTGAGATACCTGGATGGAGTTCCTGTCTCCCAGGCAGAGGGAGTAAACAAACAGATGGGTAATCTCTGACAATAGGTCTATCTTTCCCTCTCTATTCCAGCCCTACAAATAAAAGAAACAAAAAAAAAAAAAGAAGAAGAAACTAAACAAAATGATATATTGCTTTATTTTTATCATCTACCCTTCCCTTTTTGCTTTCAATAATTTCTATAACTTTTAGTTATTATTTTAACAAGAGATAACAAACATCCTTGTGTTGGAATTCTTATTACTTCACAGTATGACAAGGCCATCCCTTTGAGAATAAAGACACCGCTTCTTATTCATTTCTACTCCATACATCTAAAAGCAGAATATTCTTGATTAACATTCCACACTTCATGGTCAGTATTCTTCAGAAAATGGATAATTAGGGTGATTAACAGCACTGAAAGAGAATAAGAGACATTAATGTATTAACTCTTTCTCCATACTAAATGGGAGAGTTACTCAAAAGATGCAGCTGGAATGGACTAAAACCTCAATTAAGAAATATGTCCAGATTCCACCCAAGCACTTGTACATCTAAGCTTTCATATGATGTGCAACTTTTGTGCTTAGATCACAAGAAGGGCGACAGAAAGCACCATATTGTTTGTTCCCATTCATTCATTCAAACCTCATATAATGAGCACCCTCAGTGATGTAAGAGTTCAATTTAAACAGATTTCAATCTATTGAGGGGACAAAACATAACTACTAACAGCATACAGAGTGGATTTTTTTTCCTTTCCTAGGTTATAATTTATAAGGACATATGTCAGGGGCAAGCATCTGTTTAGCAATTAAGGCACTTGAGTTCCATAATATTATACCTGAGGTTAACGTCATTCTCCATCTTGACACTACAAATCCCTGCTAGCATAGACACTGGGAAGCAGTAATGATGACTTGAGTAATTTATTCCCTTCCACATACAGGAGTCTGAGACTGAGTTTCCATCTCCCAAGTTTAACATCAACCCAATGCCAGCCACTAGTGACATGTTCAGAATCTGCCTCTTTATGTCTCTTCCAAATAAGCAGTTGATCACTTTATTTGGAAATCATTTTTATTCTTATATTCATATAATTTTTTATATTCCTTAGAAATTCATATAGCTATTTATTTTCACTTCTGCAATATTCTTCCTTGTTTTACTATACAATATCTATCTCTCAATCTAATGTCATTCAAGACTATACAGTGCCCAGATCCGTGCCAGGGGCTGTGTTATCCACATAGTGCCACAAACAAGAATAAAACAAAGTATTTAGGTTCTATTGAGGCAGGTCATGGATTTATAAATAAAATATTCTGATTATGAACAATTTTGATTATTTAAAATATCATTAATCACTTTGCAAAGGGAAGGGCTCTTTTGACATCTTTCTTTGTAGGTTGAGATTTTTATTCTTTTTAAAATGTTTTTGCTTCCTATCTATAAATTCTTTCCAAAATTCTCTGCTTGATCTATCCTCTATCAATCTTAAAGTCTGGCAGTAGTTAAATAGAATATTGTGTTTCTGCAAAAATCAAGTCAAGAGAGGCAGGGTCTTCCCAAAGACTGATGTACAAAAATGATACTTGAGTAGAAAATACTTGATTTGAAGACTAAAGAAATACCAGAGGATCTTTTCTTGGTGTATGGGCTGATGAACCAATTCATTTTATGAGCTACTCACAGTACACACAAAAAGACAAAATAGTTGAGGAAATGAAAGCTGTGATTGATGGAATTAAGACCAGAGAGAATACTTACAAGGGGGGAAAAAAAACCGGTCAATAGATGCCATATCCTGGAGGAATGACACTGCGCACTTAAGACAGGAAGTGGAAGTAGGGTTCACTGTGACCTCCCTAGGACCCATGATTATGAACGTTCCAAAATCAACACTCATTAGAATTAAAGTTCAGGGGCTGACAAGACTGCTCAGTGGTCTGGTCCTCTGCAGACACCAACGTCTCACATGAGCATTGAGTTATACCCAGGCTGTTTCACTTCACATCCAGTCCCATGTCTGTGGCTTGGGAAAGCAGTGGAGGATGGTCCTAAAGCCTTAGAAATTTTCATCCACGTGGGACACCTGGAGAAACTACCAACTAGCTCCTGCCTTCAGATCAGTTATTCTCTGGCCCTTATGGCCATATCGAGGAGTGAACCAGCAGATGGAAGATCTTTCTTTTTCTGTCTCTCCTTCTCAATACCTTACCAATAAATATAATAAATCTATTAAAAAAATAATTGTATAATGGCTGGAATATGACAGAAAGATCAAACTGGATTTTTATTTCTATTCATTATGTGTTCATTTGTTTCATCTTTATGTACATCAAAGACAAATCATTTTAATAAATATTAAAAATATTGAGAGCCTAACGTTTCTACATTCATGCCCAGTGGATAAGTGGTACTTTAGCATACAGCCTCCAAGACATGGGGTAAATAGAAGTAGATTCACAACGATGTAGTTTTCCTTATGGATCTGCTGGCTCAATGATGAGCCACAGAGGAAATTCCTCCTATGAACTCTACAGGAAATATCCTACATCATATCCATCCACAGCCCAGGTCTGTCTTCCTTGCTTGGAAAAAATTGTACCCATTTATATTTTTGTGCAAAACGGAGTAACCCTTGGTATAACCTGCACAGTTACTTACTATAGAAATTTACTATAGCGGAAATTTTTGTTGAGGCCATCGATTTCTTTCATGTCATCTGCAGTCAATTCAAACTCAAAAATCTGAAAGGGATGAAAGATTACAGTGAGATTTCTCCATGGAGGTTTCCTGGTACTTTGGAAAGAGAGTTTCCAAGGCAATGGTGATACTAATAGTATTAAAGGAAACATTGTCATTTTCTTCGATTTCTGGGGAACTCTGCCTGAGATATGTTATCTGAGGTCTATTATTATACTGTTTTACACTATTTTCCTTAAGTTTAACATTCCATTAGGTAACAATATCAATACATGAAAAGCACAAAAGAAGAGGAAGAAGAAGGAAGAGGAGCAACAAAATTAAGCAACCAAAACAGAAAGTATAGTGTTTCTCAGGAACATAGGAAAAGCCTGCACAAAATAATCATATCCCCAAATCTCAGGCTATTGCTAAGCATAATCATTTTTATTGTATTCTGTTAGTTGCAAAAGACAATCCCATTCTTGTTTATAGTAGAATTCTATAATGCACATGTACCACATTTTCTTTTAGAGACATTCAATTTCTCAATAACTAGTCTTACTAGGTAAAAAAGAAACATTTTTCCAAAAAAAACACAAAGTTGTGCCATGTAACCATGCCCTGACTTGATTCAAAAGAATTTTTTCTTTACCATCCTCTTCAACTTGAACCAATCTTGACTGATGCAAAACTTAGAACACAGAATGTATTTCCCCAAAAATCTGTTAATCTCAGGAAAAAATATTGTCTGTTCAATTCCTGCATCCCACCATTTTATCACCTCAGAGTTTCCAAACAATGTCCATTTACAGGATGCTTGCTCCTCCCTATTTGAGCATTTTGTTCATCTTATAGCCACAAGAGTCTATTGTTCAAAGAATTCTCCTTTTTTGAATAAATCCTTCTTAGTGAAATCAGCTTTGTTTTTATGTATACTTTGTACCAGCTCAATAACAAAGAAAAGAGATTGTGGTTAAAACAATTATACTATGGTTGAAACCAGGGCCAACTTCACAGAAATATCAAGGCTGTAGCTATCTAAGTGTACATACACCATCTGATTCATTGCTGTATATTTCCATCATCTTTGAGATCTATCTACTTGTTCGTTCATTCATCCATTCATCCTTCAGTTTTAAAATGATTTGGCTGCCATAAAACATATATTACAATGTTGAGTTTACTGCAATAAAATTATTTGCTGAATGTTTTCATAACAAAATTTGTTGATTTTCTTATAAGTTTGTTAACTTAATTAAGCCTTATGAGGATTTATTCAACTACATTATAAATGATGTTTAAAGTATCATTTTTAAAAATTAAATGCATAATGATAAATCTGCATTTCATCTTAAAACTGGAAAGAGTTTAAAATCCTTAAAAGACACAAACAAAATAAGAACGAAGAATTGATCTAATAGATCTGGATGTGTGTAAAGAAGCGTTAGGGAGAGCCCAAGACGACAGCCTGGTGACTGTAATCTTTGCCTTGCATGTGCCAGAATCCCATGTGGGTTCTGGTTCGTGTCTCAGTTGCCTTGTTTCCCATTCAGATTGCTGCTTGTGGCCTGAGAAAACAGTAGAGGATGGTCTAAAGCCTTGTAACCCAGCACCAGTGTGGGCGACCCAAAAGAGCTTCTGGCTTCTGGCTTCAGATTAGTGAGCTTTGGTCGTTGCAGTACTTGGGGAGTGAATCATCAGACGGAAGATCTTCCCCTCTGTCTCTCCTCTCTCTCTCTCCATATGTGTGTGTGTGTGTGTGTATACATACATCTGACTTTGCAATAAAAATTTTACAAAAAGAAATGAGGTTGGTGTCAGAAAACACTGAGACTAGGTACAAGGTGACAGAACTTTGGGAAAGATGCATGAGTAAACTGAGACATTACACAAGTTCTCACACACAGAGATCGCCCTAATTCAGTTCTTGTGCATCCCTATGGAGAGACAGTGCTCAGTCTTTACCTGCATGTTCTCTTTGATTCTCTTCTCACTGAAGCTTTTGGCCAGGACCACCACCCCACGCTGCAGGAGGTAGCGCAGAGCAACCTGACCTGGGGTACGGTTCCGTTTCTTAGCAATGGCATGCAGGACTGGGTCGTCCAAGAGCTGTGGACTATTCTGCTCGACCCTGGGGTAGAAATATACACAGATATTAGAGGGTAAACATAAGTAGAGTATGATGATCTTTAAGCACAATTTGCAGAGATAATGAGCAGAATTATTGCTGGATATTCATGAGATTCCTTCCTAGTGGCACACCTGGAAAATATCAAATTGAAGATTAACATATAAAAGGATAATGATACTATTTATGTTCATAATTAGGAATTTTTCAGCAGTGAAGTTATCCCTCACCAGTGTGTTGGGAATATTCTGTAACATATAAATTCTCAGACCCCAGTGGATATCTGAAATCATAGGTACTATTGTATATATACTATATACTACTGCATATATATAAGCTTTTTCTATATATACAGATATAAATGCAATACCTATTTCATCTTAATGATCAATTATCATATTCTGTAATTGCAAATTTGCAAGCTGGAGAGCAACAGCAACCTGTACAATTTTTTTTCATTACAATTGCACAGATACAAAATTCATTTTTATAGGATCTAACAGCTTCAACATAATATTATTTTTCTTTCTTTATTAAACACAAGCTGTTTATCCAAACTGCAGCATCGTAACTCTTGTCCTTTGGGGTCATTAAAAGTCAAATGGGGTGATTTGAAGAAAAGCCCTCAATCTTCAGATACTTGATGTAATTACCCAGAAAACTGATAAGTGGCTATTGAGTGGCTCATCGCATTGTGAATAATTTAGGTAAATGAACGACTCAAATTCCCAGAAAGATGAAGTACAATCCTAGATTTCATAACAATCAGAATAACATGGAATTTAAAATGCGTGGGGGCTATCAATGTGGTATACTGGATTAATATTCAGGATGCCTGCATCCCATGTCAAGGTGTATTTTTAGCTCTAGTCTCTCTGGAGTTTTAATCCAACTTCCTGTTAAGTCACCAGACAATGCAGGATGATAGCCCAAGTAATTGGGCTCAGGTCAGCCAAGTTGTACACTTGGAAATAGATACTACTGATTTCAGCTGGGTTTCTCTCTCTCTGTCTCTCTGTCTCTCTCTCTCTCTGTCTCTACAGTTCTGCAATTACCACACAAATTCCCACAGAGTGAGCTTGGAAAAGATGGACACATGTATGAAGGCAGAATGAGAGAATGTTGGTGGCCCTGAATGAAAGCATGTGGGAAATTTATCACACTGTATTATGCCTACTTTTTCATGTCCTTTTATGTTAAACACAAAACTTAATTTAAACTTTTCCATGATCAACAGGGTTGCTGACATAAATTAACTGTTCATATGCTCATTACCAGTTTGGATCCCTGTGTGATCCCAAGGCACTGTAAGCAACGAGAACAATGTCCTTGGACTTGCAGTACTCCAGAAGTTTGCTCTGGTTGAGATAAACGTGACATTCCACCTGTAACACATAAGGGCCACACGTGTCAGAATACATGAGCCAATAACCACATGCACCAATTAAGAAACTGCTTGAGGCATGTCCAGTCCACAGTCCAGTGTCTCATTTCAAGGTCTGCCTCTGTTTCTAACCCTGCATTAATATATATTATACATTATTTAAATAGGTCGTTCTGCTCATGCACCTTCTAAAGATGTACAAATGTCATCAGCTGTCAGATTGATACAATTTTCCAAGTCCTTTGTTTTATTAACGTTTTAAAATCATTAAACCCTCCTGTTCTCAAAATATAGACTCTAAATGTTTTATTTGTTTGTTTTTACCAAGAGACTAAACTTCATTATTGAGTGATTCCATATCTCAGCAGGAAAGCTAAAAGCCAAAAATTAGAAAAGCTTAAACTCTAAAACAAAGAAAGTTAGAAAAAAATTGAGGCAAGTCAAGCAGTCTAGAGACTCACTTGAAGAAGCTTCTGTTAATAATAATGATTTTTTTAAAAGGAGGGGATACTGAAATAGAAAAATAGAGTAGGCTAGCGGTATGGTACTCCAAGTTAGGTCATAAGGAAATATGTCCTGGATGTTCTTTCCAATCTAACTTATTGCTAATGCGCCTGGGAAAGCAGCAGAAAATGGACCCAGTCCTTGGAACCACACAGCCGCGTGGGTGATTTGGATGGAGCTCCACTGTCCTTGCACCTGCCTCGCCAAGCCTCAGCTCTTTCAGCTGTTTACTGAGTGAACCAGCAGGGGGCAGATCTCTCTTTCTAGTTTGTGCTAGCTCTCATGCTCCTCATTATCTATCTTTCACTCTCTTTAATTCTATCTTTTAAACATACATATCACAGTGCCTGTTTGGGAATCAGAGCTCCTCTGCCCATGATAGGTTTCCTGCATGTGGACATCCTAGCAGGCAGTGAATGAGAGCTGCAGTACTTGGGCCTGGGATCTAAGGCTTCTTGCTTGGCCAGAACCAGCCCTACCTGTAACAGGAATCATTGTAGATTGAAGAGTTCTCTAAGTCTGTCTGTCTCTCCCTCATCTTCTCTGTCGTTAAAATGATTAAAGCAATTTAAAAAGCAGAGATAAAGAATAGTGACTTCAATCGATTAAAAATGTTCTATTTGCTAAAAATTCATGAATTCACATTGCATATATGAACCACTATGTAAGTACTATCTTCAAGTTCTGAAATGTATACAAACATGCCAACTATATCACAATTAAATTAACAAATCCACTTCTTTTTTTAAGATATACAGAGAAGAGGAGAGACACAGTGGAAGATCTTCCATCCGATGATCCACTCCCCTAGTGACCGCAACGGCCGGTGCGGCACCAATTCGAAGCCAGGAGCCAGGAGCTTCTTTCCGGGTCTCCCAAGTGGGTGCAGGGTCCCAAGAATTTGGGTCATCCTCAACTGCTTTCCCAGACCACAAGCAGGGAGCTGGATGAGAAGTGGAGCTGCCAGGATTAGAACTGGAGCCCATATGGGATCCCGGCACATTTAAGGCAAGGATCTTAACCATTATGCTATTGCACCGGGCCCAACAAATCCACTTCTGTGAAAATTTTCAGAGGATAGGACCTTCCTTAAGAAAATATTTAAAACAGAGAGAAGGAATGAGAGAAAGCATACAAAAAGCACGGTGAACAAGAAAAGAAAGGGAGGAATTGGAGCAGCAGAATAAGAGAGAAACTACTGATTAAGAGACATTTGATACAGATCAAATAATCACGATATACAAACCTTAACCCTACTCCAGAGAAGTAACTAACTAATGAGAGAAAATCATGTTTTAACATGTTTGATCCTACCATGATACCAACAAATGCTTGATAAAAATTTAGGTTGAATGATGCTATTCTAGAAATTAATCCTTACAGTTTAAAATTATAATAGTAAAACCTTATATATAAGTTCACCAAAACAATATAGCAACTATTAAGTACAGTTCTATGTCAAACATTAAGTCCTTTTCCTTTCTAGGCTTTCATATCATTTTAAGTATTGCATGATGGTGAATCTTACTGATCATCGTTTCTTCTATAAGAACCCCGATTTTTTTTTTAAAGATTTATTTTTATTATTTTTTCATTGGAAAGGCGGATGTACAGAGAGGAGAGACAGAGAGGAAGATCTTCCGTCCGATGATTCACTCCCCAAGTGAGCGCAACGGGCCGATACTATGCCGATCCGAAGCCAGGAGCCTCTTCCGGGTCTCCCACGCGGGTGCAGGTTCCCAAAGCCTTGGGCTGTCCTCGACTGCTCTCCCGGGCCACAAGCAGGGAGCTGGAAGGGAAGCGGGGCTGCCGGGATTAGAACCGGCGCCCATATGGGATCCCGGGCGTGCAAGGCGAGGACCTTTAACCACTTGCGCCACCGCGCCGGGCCCAAGAACCCCGATTTTGCTCCATTTAGCCTCCCCAACCCTGTGTTCAGCCCTATTTCCCTAAAGCACCTGACTCATGCTTTGCCCAAATAATCTTCCCTTAGCTTGTACTGATTGGTTTATAAAGGGTATCTTCTGTTGCCAAGTCAAGAAATAGTTGCTAGAAATTGTCTCAAGAAATTGCTCCTCCATTTAGTAACAATCCCAGAAAGTCTGCACTCTCTAGTTGGAAAAAATGAGAGAGAGAGAGAATTGTAGTTCATTGGTGGTAGAAAGCATATTGTTACTACACATGACAGAGAATGAAACAAATCTATTCGTTTCAGGACAGTATCTTAAAGAACCTTATAAAAATCAGACCCAAAATCTTTTGTAACTGAAATACCTTCTTTATATATTAGATTTTGAACTGGTTTACATTGTACTGTAATACATTCAGTGAGAGCAGTGTCCAATTGTGAATTAGGCTTTTAAGCGATATTGCAAGTTTTTTCAACTTTGTAACAAGAATTCAATCTACTTCATCCTAGATCTCTATGAATCCTTCAAACCTTAATAATTCCCCTTCTTTTGGATAGTTAAATATAACTGTGGAATTCTAGAAATAAAAGAGTGGATTCTGATTCTACACCACAGATATAAGAACTTGCAACTTTTTTTATCTACTTGGATTTTACACAAGTAGATTCCTAAAAATAAACAGCTAAGACAAAGGGTGATAGCATTCCAATGGCTTTTGATAAAATTATCAAGTCTTTTGAAATGTATATAAACTTTATCATATTGTGTATAACATGCAATGATGCTCTGGGTATTCTTAAAATAAATATGGTTTAATTATTCTTACATATTTTCTCAGTTTTCACTCCTTTGCTCTGATTTGGCATTTGCTCTCATTACTAACTGTTCTCTCAAGTTTCCCATCAATTCCATGCCATAAATCCAACTTTTTCCAGCCTCATCAGGATGCATACCTGAAGCCTGATATCAACTCTCCTCATTTTTCATTTTTCTCAACCTATGTGGTAAATCCTGTTCTATCAATTTATCCATGTTTCTGATTCGTACTCCAACACTGATAGCTGCCAACATAACCACATTTGAATGTCTCATAGGAACCTGAAATTTAGCTTTGAGTAACAAAGTCATGCTGCGTGCATTCCATTCAACTTGCTTTTTCCTTGGTATTTCTTACTGTAATGATTGAAATGGCCACCCACTAAATAGATCCAAAGCCATGAACTTGAAAAAAACATCCATTAAGAAATAAGAATGTGAAGAACAGAATGTAGAGAAAGCCCTCTGGGTTTAGGATTTACCTGGTTGCAGGTGGGCTTATACTTGAGTCCTGGCTTGTTCAGTATCATTTCCAGCTGTTTGCGATTGAAATTAGACACCCCAATGGACTTGGTTAATCCTGCATCTTTGCACTTCTCCAGAGCCTAGTGAGGTAGGAAATGTGCAGTCATTCTTTGCTGAACTCTATTTATCTCTTTGTCC